CCAAGCAACTCACACTACTTGCTTGTTATTTATACGAATGTTTTTTTCTGCGTCAGGCTATAGCCAGCTCATTCCTCCTTTCTCAGCCTTCCCAGATAGCACTTCAGATCTATTGAAACTTGACGCACACTTTAGTTTTTTTAGAAATTTGTCTTTTAATTTATCTCTTATCTTATTTCTATTCTTATAATTAAAAATGTTAAAAACATGATTTAAATTTATCTATATCTATATCTATATATATATATAAGTTGTAAATATATACTAGTTACTCATGACAGTATTCGAAATAACATATTTGTTCTACAAGGGGTAGGGTTCTTGACCCAGGGACCCTGCTGCTACACCGTTTCCCCAGTGCGTCTTAGCGATGTATGACACTAATTATAATTACATACATGGAGAAATGTATTTACAATAAGAACAAATTGTCTGTATTAATATGCTTAGGATCTGTTATGAGGTACTATCCCTATATGGCTACAAGGTCACATTACTGACTGTCATTGAAGCCATTGCAGTACTGTTTCTTTTACTTTCAGTTTTATTTCATATTTTAAAAAATACTATGTTTTACTCATTCGATATTAAAAAAGCTGAAGTATTTGGACATTCAGCTACCAAGTTATTGAAACTTCAATTATTCACTCTTAATTAAGAAATGGCAACGCAGATTTCATTACACAAATAAGCATTAAGTCTTAATTCCATGAGGCCGTCAGTGAGTCGAAGGTAAACAGTCTCTTCTTGCAGCTTATTTCAAATAATAGCAATATCTTAGAAACAGATATTGATAATAATAAATATCATTGCTAAAACAGAACTCCTAGGAATTGATTGCAGATAAAGACAAAATAATTGCCTTGACACAACGAAAGCGCCTGCAGCAAAACAAAATCATTAATAACAAGAAGAGAGTAGGACCTTAAGCTGCGTCGTCTCAAATTTGCCAATATGGCGATCAAACAGAAATGTTCTCGCCGATGATTAAACCAAAGTAGGGGAAAAAGAAGTCAGGGGAAAGACAGAGCCATCCATTGGATTAGACTAATGGAGTTAGCTAAGGGAATTGGTGAACTGTAGCTCATGAGGGCTCAGCTGGACAAAAGTCACTCAAGCATGAAATATCATAGTGGAAAAGGGGTATGTGAAGATTCGTCAGATATTTATACCTACTATGTCCACATAAATATACATCTGCTTATAAAGAAAATAAATTCAAAGGAAACTTTTGGCTTTATGAACTGGTCCCAAAAGAATAATAAATATTGAATTTTATGCACCTGAAAATATTCTAATGATATACAATTTGACTGCAGGTTTACACATTACGGAAATATTTTTTGAGAGTGTTAATTCTGTTTAAGCAATTTCGATGTGTGTGAAAAAGCGTATTAATGTAAGATTTACATTATTTTGTATATATATGATCAAAATATTAGTACAGTAAATCTCAGTGCACGACTTTTATTTAACAGCTCGAAATTAAGAAAACGAATGAAACGAATTGCGATGCTCTGAAAACGAATTGTCAGATGTATAAGAACTTGTTAGGACAATGACATCCAGAATTATATTTATATTGTTAGGAATTGCGCATAGATAGATAATTTTAGCAAAATTATATGTGAAATTCTTGTATTTTTTTGCATAATGTAATATGAAAAGATGCAGAGAAACAATGCTCCACGGGAAAAATAAGAATAGGGACAAGTCTATTTTACATTGAGTAAATGGATATCTCTCTAGTTTGGAGAGATAGCGCCAAGCTGGCAACGGTTTAGACGGCTAATTTTTGTCTCCAAATTTGGCAACAAATCGCCTAACTTGGCGACTTTTTTGCAACATTTCGATCCAGTCCTTGCATAACTGTAATTAGTTTCCATATTAGCTGTAATCGTATCCATCCTTCATATGCCTTCCAGCAATTTCGAAAAGAACAATGTACTAAAGATTTCTCGACGGCGCGGGAGGGACTATGTAAGACGGAACAGAGTACCAGTTTCCTAGTTGTAATTGTTGTTAGTCAGCGTGGTTCGGAGTATTGAGATATTCCGTGTTAGCTTTGCTCTTCAGATGCGCTTTGTATTGAGTTGTGTTAACGTCCTTAGTAGTTTGAAGTGTGTTCACTAATTGTATTCTGTGATACTGTGATGATCTGTATGAATGTTTCTGTGGACAATTACAAAATTGTGAAGTATTTTCTTTCGGTAAAGTTCGTGTTTAATCATTTTATCAAGCTATCATCGGTTCTGTGTGCATTCAATCTATTACGAACCCGAACGCACGCAACAACAATTTTCCCAAAATCACTGGTTTCTCAAAATATCTGTAAAAATGTCGAATGAAGTTATTTGGGGTGATATAAGTATCATAACACATAAATAAAAACTGAAAATTCGAATAATGAATGCATACGAAAAAAGACTGTATTAGAACCAAATAAAGATAAAGTAATACGTAACAAAAACATTTTAGGAAAAAAAATTGAAACATTTGCAGACTTTTGTTATTTATAGGAAATAAGTATTCTTTTAATGTGTAAATATTTGTACATACGTATCACAACTGGATTTTGCACTCGCAATGAGGTAAGTGATAAGAGTTTCAGCGGATAGATATTTTGTCTTTTTCTGACTGATAAAAAGTAAAAAGTTCTTCTTAAATGGTTATCACACATTGCGTCTATTACGTTTGCTGTTAACTTATGATCCTGCTTTCAAAAGTGGTATGTTATTTAAGCCAGCGTTATGCACAACCTGTTTCATAACACTGGCTACTAGTTGATGAAATGCTTGTGCACAACACTGGCGGAAATGCTAGATCCTAACTGTGTCTTGCCTACAGAGAAGCACAGTTCCTTCATTTTTTCCAATAATTTTCCTTCATTTAAAGATCTAAACAAATTTTTTTTTTTAATTTCGAGACATTATATTTAATAACATGATGAGTCTGCATCTTTACTATTATTATTATTATTATTATTATTATTATTATTATTATTATTATTATTATTATTATGTATATTGTTTCTGTTAACTCCTCTCTTTCATCTTTTCCATTTTTGTTTCCTACAAATAAGAATACATGACTGCATTAAAATAGACCCCAATAAAATGTAACATTGTAATGACTCTATACCGAAGTTACGAAATATTTGCTTTGATATAAAGTATTTTTTAAGATAGGTAATTTTTTCTTTGAATTTGATGAAGATGAAGTTTTGGAAAAGAAGTCTCATTTAAAAAATAACAAACTAGCTCTTAAGCATGTTCATTTAACTAATGTTCAAATTTAAATTGAATCTAAGAGATTTCTTGTGATATATTAAGCTTAAAACCGCCTTTAGAAAAAGACAAAAATTAATGTTAAGTACTAAATAGTATCTAAATAGCTTCATATTTCGAAGGGAAGCCTCAACAAGATTAGACATTATTTCTAGAATTCAGAACATAAAAACCAAGCATTCACTCTATTAGAAACAATGACGTTTAGAAAAAGCTGGACCTTCTGTCTAAGAAAATCTATATGTGAAATACTTAATTGTCATATTTCTGCTGAAACGTTCTTTACCAGTACATTATTAGCCTTTAACTTTTAAAAGCTCATTGGGAAAGTCAAGAAATAAAGATAATTACAGGGCTGATACTCAATCTACCCACTTTGCATGGAAAACGATCACAGATATGAGAGTCGTTAAAACTCATTGAAAGCTTAAAAATCCTATTAAGTAGCGTCAAATTCAATCACTAATGTGCCGTAATTTGTGGAAGGTCTCGTGAGAGGAAACTCATTGCGGACGAATCTTTAAAGACATCAAACACAATGAGTAAATCCGAGTAGAAGGAAAGCTTGCGGCCCCCATATCGAAGGTAATCGTATTCCCAAGCCTGCCGTTTTCGCCTTTAATGATCTTCTTTCAGCTTCCGATGGCCGAAGGATTAGTAGGGCAGCAAGAAGGAATCTGCCGATGTTCGTTTCTAATGTTTTCTTAATGACGCATCCAGGAAGTGCCTTCGTTTGTTGAGAAAGCGACGGAGATCCGTTAATTGCTCTCCTCTTATGAATGCAAGCGGGAAGGCTAAAAAGCTTAGACTGCAAAGAAGATGGTTCAGTAATGCAGGCTCTAATTTTTTAGGATTTTGAAATTCCAGAGATAGCTTGAGGAAGGTCGATTACTGCTCCGGGGATAATTCAGAAACCTTCAGGCACTTTTGTGTTCTTTCGAGGCTATTTTTCTTTTCATTACAGCGAAATGTGCAGTAATTCTAATTTTAAACTCTCCCTCTAAAAAATTAAAAAGTATAACTAAAAAATGTGACTGGAAGAGAAGTATGTTAAAATGCATTTAATAAGTAGGTTTAAAATACAGTAAAAGATGTTTTACTTTGCTGTTATCTTCACTGGAATTTAATGAATTCAAATTTTGTTTAATCTTAAATATGGTAAGTATTAGCTGTAAATGGGAAATTTAATAACTGCCAAATGTAACTTGAAAAGAAAAAGGTGTATAATCTAATGTTAAAGTACTTAAAACTAACCAAATTCTTGTTAATTAAAAATAAAAATCACAGCTAATAATATTTATAAATTTCCATACTTTTATGACAATGCGCAATGAGGTACATTCCACTGGCGGCCGCCCAGACGGTATAGTGGTTTGGGGAGCTTGACTGCGATACCGAAGGCCCCAGATTTGAATCCCGGTGAAGGCATGGATGTAAAGCTGTCTGTCCCTTCATAGGAGGTAGCAGTGGTCGCCTATTAGGTGCCTCCGTAATAAAATGGCCACCACTTCTGGTACTTAGTAGTGGCCAATCTCGTTATAGGCAAGTGCCAGCCATTAAAAAAATCCATTAGTGTAAGCGTTTAAGTCCATTAGTGTAAGCGTTTAAAAAATGTTACCAGTAAATATTTAACACATTCGCTTTTCTCTGATGATATTTCTTTTCGCGGTAACTTATACTTGACATTTTTTAAACCAAACATTTATTTCGCAGGAACCTATACTGACCTAAAGATGACATTTCCTACACCAGGAGATGATGACCTCATGGCTTTTGATGTAAACAACACTGGGGATCTGTATAATATAAAGGACTCAGAAACCCTTTGCCCTTTGACTAGCAACGGAATAATTGCATGTAATATTCAGGGTACCAGCAACGCAGAAGAAAAATGAAAGCACGGAGAATTCAGAATGAACTTAGAAAATAAAATATCCATTACGGCTTAAGGAGGTGCATTCGATATGGTCTCAAAGCACAGTTAATGCCCAATGTCATGGTCAATCTTGAGAATTTCATCTGTTTTTTATAATACGTATTTTTTTTTAAATCAGAAGCATGCTCCAATATTGACAGGTATAGAAGATTCGGCTGGTGACATCCAGAAAATTTTTCCGCTTCTTAGAATTCAAGTGCTGAATTTCTTGTCAAGATCGTTTTGATAATAAAATTATCGTTTCATATTAGTTCAGAAAGATTATTTAAGCGGTTATATCTCAGGTGAGTAATTTTAGTGAACATACCAAATATACTACTTTACTGAAGTTTTGAAACACAAATTTTCTTACATTCATTACAGCGAAAATTAAACGAAAAATTAGAAGAATATTTCTGTACTATAAATTCTGAAAAATAATAGTAGAATCCTCAAAATATAGGATAGAGGAAAATGTTTATGAGAAAAAAGTCGAATTTATCCATAATGAACAGCAGGAAAACCTCTCTCATTAATTAAGCGTAATAGCATAGATCAGTGAGAGAATGGACGTCGTTACATTTTGAGATTTCCCACAATAATAATCTCTGATCGTAATAACTGAATTTGATCGTCCACATTTAATTTCACAAACATGCTGGTTGTGAGAACAATATGTGCGCGATCAGTTGAGTGCTGTGTAAAACCGGTAGTGTAAACCTGCATAATTTGATCGCCGACCTCCCCGAAAGAAATTTGCCTCTGACACTGTAAAGCAATCCCTGACGACATGTATCTATATCAAATAACCTGCCAGGCAGTTTACTGAAGTTACAGGACCGCCCATTGTGGCACCGAAGGTCGTCTTCGAATCGACACCTCAGGCCCATAATGCAGTCGTCGGCACCCCTCTTGTCATAGCATCGCTGCAGGAATACACTGTCAGTATTACTACAATCAAACAGCCGGCTAGCCCGCCTCTGTCTCATTACGTCCTTCTCATTGGTCCTTTTCGATTCCAGAACAACATGAAGGAATCCAGATGAAGTGGAGAAAATCGAATATTTGCGAATGCAGAGAAACAAGTTATCGAATTGCTCTGCATCGTTTGGAAACAAGTTGAAACTAGCAAGTGTCGGATACAGATGACGCACCAACCTTTCGAAACTTCTCATGCGTTATGTTTTAAACAGACAGTAACCGCAAGCAAATTTTGATGTTTACTGCACAAAAATATTGAGGAAACGTTTTAAAGAGAAAACTGGAGTCAGATGGTGATAATATTCGAAATTTAAATGAATACAGCCCGAATAAATGCAATACATATACATCCTTCATAAACTCACCACCCCTCCTCGTCCGTCAAACAGAAGTTAAACTAGAGTAAAAATAAATCATGTTTCAGAAGCAAATAATATCTTTTATGAATCAAAACTGAAGAATATAAGGAAATGCCTCACAATTTAATTAATTTAAAAATTTTAAACTAAATAATGTCCATTCTTTTGATATTCGCTTATAAGTATTATGCAACTCATTCTTTCAAATAGCTAAACGTAAATAATTTTCAACAAATACAAATTTAAAATGGATTTTGTTAACTTACTCCTAGAGGACACGTTCAGCTGCAGTAATTGTGGTTACTTTAATGCATGAATCAACGATTATGGTTAGCAGTTTAGGAGAAGTGTTGTGAATTAGGTTATCGTCGACGAATTAGGTCTCATCAGTTCAAAACCTCAGTTCATGTATTATTCAAGCGAATCGTTGTTGACGGATAGGGTGAATATTTTGAATGAATAACAAATTTATCTTTCCTTAACTTAACGTATTATGTTCTTTAACAACATAGGAATGTATTTAAATTATTAAAATATAGCTTCAAAGTATTTATTTTCAACAAAGCTCCTTTATCCCGCTAATAGTCATAGTAATAACATTTTGTTGTTCATGTCATCAAAACTTTAAATTGTCTTTTTCTTCTAGTAAACAAAATAATTCAATGAAATGCTCAAGCAAGAGTTATGTTTCAAATAAGCAAACTGCAATAAATAAAATATACATACAGTAATAAAAAAACATTCTTATGTAAATTTTGAAAATGAGTTTATAGGCATTATTATCGCATATGCGTGAGAAATTATTTTATTCTATTTTAATATGAGAAACTAGATGAATGCGACTATGAGTCGAAAATATCAAAATGTGTAATAGGCAAATGTGAAAGCAAGTTTAAGGAGACAGAGTGAAACTTTTTCTTAAATACAGGAGTATCAGGAGCATCATTTAGTTGACTAAATAGCATTAAACTTTTTCGCCTGTTAAGCGGATGTGCAATGTTGTTTATTATATCCATACTCCTTTTTTTAAACCCACCAGCAGCCGAGCTGCAAAGTCTCTGCCCAGAGGTAGCGCAGTCCGGGGTTCGAATTCCGGCCCTCGAGTGCTTTGCAATCAAACAAAAATTTATTATTTCTAATTTTTCAGATCTGTTTATAAAACTTTTCCACTACTTACGGTATCTGAGTAGCAGCACGAAGGAAAGCTCCAAGGTAAATATTATGAAAAGTAATTTTACATTAATCCCTCTCCTCTCCAAAATAATCTGCGGATGATAGATTAAACTTAATTTCCTTTTTTTAATTAGCTCACAAAAGTGCGTAAATATCATCTTAAAACAGGTATTTAATAATAAAAAGCATAAATAATTGTCCCTTAGTCTTTTCAGTTACTTTCGGGGATATTGTATTCATACTCTGCAGTGAAGGACAGTGAAGAAACAGTGTGAAAAAAACAGTGAAGGAAAAAACAGTGAAGAAAACTTTTTCTGTTTTTGAAGGAATTTTTTCTTTTCCTTTTTCTTTATTTTTTTTAAGTCAGAGACCAATCATTTGTGGATTAAACAATGAGGTGACCAGACCTTTCAGATGCTCCAGTGATTAGAGTTCAAAAACATTACTTGGAATCTACATTAGATGATCCGATATTATTTATGCAAAAGGCAGATAAACTCGAACACTGGACCACCACTGCCGAACTCGCTTGTGCTAACGATCATACCCACCCGCCGTGAGTTTTACTGGGGATTAATAAAGCTGTGGTATAAATGCCATAAATGGTTTGAGCCGAGCTTCGTTGCTAGGTAACCAGAACATATTACGTCACAAAAAACTAGTTTAAGGGTTTTGGCTTAAAGTTTGAAGTTTTCAATCGTGTGCCGACATGGTATAAGAGTCGACCAATCAGAGCGAAAGCACGAAACCTATTGATTAGGAAAACTGTAATATATATGTAGTTTGACGGATGTGATAGCGATTACAAAGATTGTATTTAAGACACTAATCTGAAAACTTCCTTCTTATTTTATATTGTTTAATATGCATATATATGTTTTGAAAAAGAAACGTCATGTACAATTAAAGTTAATGAAAATCTGTCATATTTTCCTAAGACAAGAAAAATCTGAATAACTCTTTTAAGTAAATTATTTTACGCTGTGTGTCTACTTGAAAATATGTACTTTTCTATTCTTTCTATTTCCAAGCTTCAGAGGTAAGTCTGATGTCAAATGAAAATGGAATTCCAAAGTCTACATAAATAAATAGTATTTCGTCAGGTATTTTAAATCTGTTTTAAAAGGTCTATTCTGTTCTCAGAGTCTCATAAAATGGTATTAAAAGTTGCATTTCCCCTAATAACATGGTATTTTTAAGGAAGAGTTACAGACAAAATTAAGCTGTTTTCTCCATATGAGAGATCAATTTAACTTATTTATTATATCTATCATTGTTATTCCTTGAATACTACTTATTAACTTTTTGCAATTTCAGAGGCAATCATTGACAGTATCCGTGAAAAATCATCCACTCATTTAAAAGCTCAGCATCGCATGAACTCGACTTTGTGTTCATTTTTAGGTTATACGACAAAAGACAATAGCCATCGGTTAGTTTTAAGAGACATGGGCTGGGCACGTTTATAAGGCGTTCATAGCTGCCATTTTTATAACAAAGTAATCTTATGGGTATCCTCTCCATTCTAATTAGAACAATATATTCGTATTCAATAATTCTTACCTACCAATGGAACAGAGGTCTGTGATTTTTCTATCCTTAAAGGAATATATTAATATAAATATATATACTTGTAAATTATATAAAATTTTATAAACTGCATGCTTCATAATTAGATAAAAGCATTGTTATAAAATTTAGCATTTCTTTAAGAATCATCACATCACAGTTCAGTTAGCGCGATAGTTTCAATCACGGAGCGAATGTTCTGCTGCAATTCTTAAACACAATGATGATTCGCATGCTATACTTTTGATTTAAACATTCCTTTCTGATAAAACTACATACCTTCATACCTTTTAGATGATCAGCATGGATGAATTAGTTGCGACTTCAGCTGATAGGTTTATGGTATGATAGTCGTACGGGCACAGGCCACCTAACAGTATCATTTTATCAAATAATTGAAACTACTCACAAAGCTAAGATCATTTACATCTCGTTGTTCATAAAGGGTTTTCCTACTTTCTGCTTCAGGCTGTTTTCATTTGCTGTAATGAACAAGCGGGTTTTAGTATACTTTTCTGATTAACTAATGAAGGAATGGCTAAAATAGGCTAAAGATACTTTAATCAAATCTTTTTGACTTCTTTAGCAATAATATATGCGTTGTAGTAAAACTAAACTTTCTTAAAAGTGACAACAACAATCAAACAAAAGTATCAAAAGAACATGACCGGATGCTTCAAAGAAACGAGAATATTTCAAAGGTATGATAAAAATCCCAGGAAACTGTAGCTGAAATTTTGATTTGTTAGTGGAGAAAGGAAATCATTGTAATAACATAGAGGCATTGAGTTTTGTTTGCGGTCATGAAACACGAAAAATTACCTATGCACTCGCCAAGATAATCATGGATCTTCTAGTTGCTAACTGACGTGCTGCTTACAACACGGCAGCCTTTATGGGACAATACGATTATTTTAAAATATAATTAATTTACGTAATTTAAGCAGTATGTTGTAATAATTATAAGCGAATTTATCAAAACATAACAGATTTTATTCGAATTTTTTTCTTACTAATATAGCAGATTGTTTTCGAAAACACCATTTATACACTATGTAAATCTAAAATTGCAACACGTAGATACTTTTGTTGAAAATGCTGCAATATTGGTCTAAATGAAGACCATTGTGAAATGATCAAAGTTACGATGTAGATTTGAATTTTCTACAGCTGATATAAGAAAAAACCC